GCAAGCGCCCACAATGCCAAGACTCACAAAACCCCCCAGTCTGGCAGATTGTCGCCATGAAACTGAAGAGGAACTGTAGACTTGAATGACGATTCCCAGCAACACCACCAAAACTGCAAGTATGGTCCATGGACTCCTCTGTGGTGTCTGACTGAGTCCATGATGCTGAATCATGCCAGAACGAGGCTTCAATTGATCTTTCAGCAAACGAGCCAGAGTGGTCTTCCCCGAGGCATTCAAACCGACCAAGCCTACGCACCAAGCTTCCCTCAGCTCCAGGTCCACACTCTTGAGAACTGAGTCACCGGAATAGTCAAAGTTCAGGGAAGATGTTGAAACAAGCAAACACTTGTCCTTTCCACTGGTCTCCCTCACCACAGGCTTCGGAACCTCTGTTTCATACAGTTGCTTTGAGAAGATGTTGCGAAATCCAGAGGATTGAAAGTGCTCCTTGAGGATCCTTCGCTCATCCTTCAACTGTTCGCGCAACTGTTGCAACTGAGTCCGCACCTCCCGATTCTGTGGATCCAGCTGCAGAGCTCTTTCAAAGTCCTCCTCTCTTTTGTCGCTTCTTTTTTCGCTCAGAAACAATGTGATCACAAGTTGTGTTAGGTCCAAAACAAAAAAGAATGGAGATGAGCTGCGTCACTAGGTCACCCCATGTTGAAGCTGCGAGATCAAAGAAAATGATGCTTGTGTTGCTGGGAGAAAGAAACAATAACAACACACCAACCTCACAACACAAGAATGAAATCGAACAGCACCGGCGATCCAGCCAGCTGAGAGGTTCGGTTCTTCGCCAGTCCTGTGCCAGTCCAGCCAGGGACTCTCCTTGGTACTCCGCCAGTTGTTTCCTCGCCATGCCTCGACGGTACAAAGCCTTGGACTCCATGGCACTCGTCTTCGGTGTCTTGGGCTCCACAGCCAAGGCGCCCGTGGCATGGTCGATAGCACTGGCCAAGTTCCCACGACGCAGATGTGCCAGGGAGGCATTCAAATGAAGAGCCGCGCGCAGATGTGCGATGGCAGCGCCTTGAGAAACGACTCAAAGAGGCTAAAATAGGCACAAGGACTAGGCTCAAGGCTCTTCGGTCATTACTACATCACCATGAAGACATTTTTTCTAAAGGATGAAATAAGACTCCTCTTTGAAAGGCCTTAGGCTTGAAAAGAACGCTTCAAACCTGCTGCCTTCTGTGTTGGTTTTGCCACCCTCTTTCAGCCCCCATTGCAGCCTCCATCGTCTTGTTCACCCTTTGCAGACAGTAAAGCCACTAAACCCTTGTCGTATTCAGCGACAGCATCGGCAAAGTCACCTTTGTTCAATAGTTCATTTCCTCTCAAACGACATTCCTCTGCTTCCTTCAGGCTGGTGTCCATGGCACAAAAAGACTCAAAGACGAAGCCGCTGAAGCTTTAAAGCCACGCACGGAAACTGGCTGCCTTCAACTTGCCATATGTAAACTGAGACATCTCACAGTTCTGGCAACCTAATAGCGATGGCCTCCAACCTGATAGCGATGGCCTCCAACATCAGTTCTTGCAAGAGTTCCCCACAGTTCGGCAAGAGCCAACACTAATGGCAGCTGGAGCTGGGGATAGCTGGGGCACCATACAACTTGGAATCCCGATAAGGAACGCGTCCGGAGCCCTGCAGAGACCACTCACTGCCAAGTGAGCAAAATATGGAAAACAAAGCCATATCGCAAGGACACAAAGGAAAAAGGTATAAACATGTCTAAAGGTCTAGAGAACCAAAAACATTGTCTAAAGACACAAAGAAAGAAACACAAAGTCACATCGCAACAGTCCTACTTGTTTCATCTCTTTTCTTCGGTTCTCGACCTCGTTGCATCCTCCCTTCAGTCCCTTTCGCACCTCCCGCAACGCAGTGATCACACGTCCCAGCGTCAGGAGGCTCTGATTGATGGAACGCCGCCTAAGCGAAAAGCGAAAAGCCTGGTTGATGGAAGGGAGACAACAGTGTTTCTCAAAAATTCCAACAAGAATGCTCTCGTCTTTGGGGGGCCTGTTTTTCAAAAGGCACAGCGCTGCTGTCTTTTCTATATAGTTGAGGAGGCAAGGAAATTCAGAAAGGAACAAAGGAAGAAAGCAAGAAAAGCCTGAAGAAAGAGAAAAAAAAGAAACGAAGGCTAGTACTTTTGAGCAATCGGTCTGGAATGAACAGCTCTGAAGGAAAAAAAACACCGTGCTGTGTTGCAGCGCCCCGAGGCCCCGAAAAAAAACGGCGAAGATCCTCCTCGGTCCCTCGCTCGCGCTCTTCTTCTTGTCCCGCCAGGAGTCGGGCTGAAGCAGAAACATCCTGGCAACGACACATGGCCAAAAAAAACAATTGAATAGGTATGAATAGGTATAACACGGCAAAAACTGTATGACCAAGTCACTTAAGGATTCACTTATGTATAGTGCATCACCCGACACACGTACGTGATGCTGGGCCTGGCCTCGGGATAAATGAGGCCACCTTTCTTGGCACACTCACTGCCCGCCAGGTCCACCAGGTGCAATTTACCCTGGCCAAGCCGAGTCGTTTGACATCTGAAAATGGATTGGTTCTTCCAATAGTAGTAACAGGTGCCTTACTAGTAGTAACAAGAAGCAATTAGAAACAAGTGCCTTACTACTAGTAACAAGAAGCTACAGTACTAGTAACAAGTGCCCTGCTAGTAGTAACAAAACCGCTTTGAGGTTAGAGGCCATCGCTATTAGGGGTGGAGGCCATGGCCCTTTGCGGGCTGGAACATAGCCTCTTGTTTCCTACTAGCTTTCTTGTTACTACTAGTAAGGCACTTGCTCCTAGTAGC